AAGTGAAAATGTTTTATGAACTTTTCGGTACCCTATACTCGTGAGGAATGCATAGAGTTTACTTCAAATGCAGTTCAATATAATCTTTTATTAATTGAGTGAATGGTTTCAATTAAAACGATTCAATAAAAGTTATCTGACTTTCAGTTTTGGAGTTCAAAATGTTGTGAGAAATATGGCAATCAATTGAAAGGCGAGTGATTGATTGGCTCTCATATTATCTCTCATCTCTCATGTCTTTATTGGACACAAGTTTTTTGCGCCAATTATTGTCTCTTCGGATGACATTAAATAAATTGATGTCAAATAAGTTGGATATTAAATGATTCGTTAATCTGTTATTAAACCTATCGTTCGCCAAATTTAATGATCAGTCAATGTCTTCCAGAGTCGGCTCTAAAACACTTTTTATTCACCGAAAAAAACGGAGAATCTATTGATTATCACAAAAATCAATGCAAACATTGCCTTCACATGTGCTCTTATATCACAAAGGAATAGATTTATTGATTCAATAATTGTATTAAATTTAATGTATGATTATAAATACAATCACATAAATGGTAAAACTTTAGAAACAAAAAATGCAGTCAATATTTGTACCATAAATTGGGAGCAAATTAGTCACAATTATTTACAAATTTATAATTAATTTTATACAATTTATACACAATTTGTGAATCTATTGGTCAATAGCTATAGACAATGAAAGAGCCTTTGAATCAAGTCTACAGTAAAAGACACTCATTGTTGTCATTTGTGGTGAGATATCAGCGAAAGAAAGCCCTCTTCTCGTAGAACTGAATGACGAGTTGAGGGCAAAGAAGGTTCGCCTCTTTGGCCAACACGACAGACACGTCGGCGCTGTTCGACCACTCCATCCAAAACCAGATGTCTTTGCCATCAAAGGCCGCGTTCACTATCCTCTGCGGTATGAGATGTTTGGGAAACCCTGAGTACCCCTTCTGTGGGCGACCACCACTCGGCTCTTCAGTCGTGTGATTATCATCCAAACGGATCGTGTCGTCCGAGTCCTCGTCAGCCGAATGCATCGATTCTGAGCCGTCCGTCAATGAGATTACCTCCACGTCATCGGTGGCAGTGATGGTGGCAGTCGTGAGGGTCCGCGTGTCCAGTGGTGTGTCGTGTGATGTGGTGACCGATGAGGACATGGAGTGAGTGGTGTCCTCACGAGTGACACCGTTTGTGTCGTGAGAACCGATGTTTTCAAACTCGCGTATCATATGATGACAGCCCTCGAGGAGGTGGTCCAGTGGTTCCCATGTGTTCTCTTCGGGAGGAAAGTCAACCCATTTGACGAAATACTCGATCCGTCCCTTCCGTCCGATACGACTCTTCAATATCTTCTCCACTTTGAAGTGATTCTCACCAATGGTTTGCTTCACGGCTTCACTCATATTGGGAGCGATTGTCACGTCAAGTGGTGGTCGGGAGGGGTTTATGAGGAGAAGGTGTGCATTGGGATGTGCGGGATGTGCGGGATGTGCGGGATGTGCGGGATGAATGGTGTGACACTTGAGACAACATAGGATGGCATCGATGGCCACAATGGGAGTGAATGAGTGATACACTGATAGACGGTATACGACAACAGAGACGACATATGAGTGAATATTTGTATATTTGTTGACGCAATCCATGCAATACTCGCACAATGTATGCATTGGCGGTGTGTTTGTGTTGCCATTGACTCGTTGACTGCCATAGCATAGCATTGTCTACTGTTTCCCTCTATCGTATCGATCTCATGTTGACTGAATCTATTGGTCGTTCGCACAATTATATAGCATTTGGCGCTCACTTTAAATGCATTGCAAACGGTGTCCACAATTGAGTGATTCATTTGGTGTACAGTCAGTCAATACAATGATTACAATTTCAATTGTCATTCATTCACTAGATTTCAATTGTAAGCTTACACCTATATAAAAGGATGAATAATTTGAACTAGTGCATTTATTTGTGTGAAATCAATATGAAATGTTATCTTGGTACAATAATTGTTGATGAATCAATTATTGATGTATTAGAGTAAGTTTATGCATTTGAATCGATTTATAGCAAACAAATGTCTATTAATTGATCATGAATGTAAAAGTTATATAAATGAATATAAGGTAAGCTAGGTGCATTCAGATTGGAGTGAATGTTAGACAAGAAATGTTGGCATCTGTTAGATGTTCTCCCATTATATTGACTCAAATCCACTCTCAATTATTTATGAGATTTTTCACTCCAATTATAAGACAATCTTTAAATGATCTGTTTTTATCTCAAAACTTATATCATATAATCATATACTGTTCATATGACTACAGAATTTAAGTGTTAAATTGAATTTGATTTGAAATATTTTGTATTTACAGTCAGATAAGACTCGCTTTTATTAAGAATAATGTTTTGCTTTAATGATATAGAAATAAAAACACTGTATTTGAATGCCTTTGAGAACTATTTTTTAATAAGATATCTATTGAGACAACATTTTTGATACTTATCTTTAAGGTATAAACTCTTCAGGAATTTTAATGCATCCATGAATTGTCGAGAGAGAAGTTATAATAAGAAATAAATGCTTTGAATCATTATACAGTAAATAGACTGAATGTTTAAAAATTTAAAAGGTAAAATTATAAATTTATTAGTAAACTTAAGTATAAAATATTGTCAAATTTTGGTACTAAGTTATAACAAGGTACAGTATACCGTACTAGAAATATAACAGTACTGTATACACTGTATACTATACAGTATACTGTAATAGTAATAGTACAGTAATCTATAGTAATTTGGTAACTGTGCAATTCTCCCTTCCCTTCCAGTTGGTTAAAACATGTAAACAAGGTTTATGTTTAGCATTAAATGAATTCAAATGACATAAAATTGTGTAATTTTAGTAATAATGAAAACAATTGATTCAAATGACACTTATTTTATTCGTATTGTTTCATAAGAGTGAAGACAAATGCTTTTCACATGAGAGACATTGAATGAGTTTTTATTTGTCAAAAGACAAAGAAATACTAAACAAATATTTAGACAATTGATTCAATTCTATGTCATCTATTTATAACATCTTATATCTACTGTAATGTATACCTAAATTTTAAAACAATTAAAATGAATTTTCATTATAATTATATTAATTATACAGAATTTGAATGAGAAATGAAGAGTAATTTAAGTATAAATTTAATTATAATTATATTAATTAAATGTTTGCAGAAATGTTTTTAAAAGATTACATTTTAAAGGCCATTATTTTAATATATTGTACTCATATGCTGTTCATCTAAAATATAAGACCTAAAACTTATTTGTGCTAAAATTAAAAAATTAAATTTTGATTTGAATTTATGAAATCCTTAAAACATTTGCTGTACTTCTAAGATAATAATTTAAAGGAGAACTTTATTTTATGCCATTAATTATGTTCTTAACTATTGTGAGAATATATTTAAGAATTTTATGAAAACCATTTATTTCGCTCATCAGTGTCTGTCTCTGACACCAAACATACAAATAATTTTAAATTATCTCAATATTCAAGTGAATAATCATTAAATATTCCAGATTAATCCCAATAACCCAATCATTTGAAAAATAAAAGTTAAGTTTTTGAGAATTGGGTCAAATTAAGTCCTAATTATTATTACTATTCTTTAGTTAATTATAACTCATTTTGGAAAACCATTAATCAATTTAATAACTCTTTATAAATTGATTCTCAAATATATTATATTCTAAATTTAAGCTAATTTTTATCTTTGTATTTATCAGACGTTTATTTCACTTCCAGATTCACATCAGTCTTATATAATTTATATAATAATAAATACAGTATAAAGAAACATTTCATGTAAACTTAGTATTGATTTGTTTATAGGATTATCATTGCGTCAAGTTTTCCTTTTTTTATTATAGCGTATCACTTAATATGAAAATAAAAAAAGATTATAATTTAGAAAAATTAAGCCATTTTTGCTCATTATTTTTAAAACATAAAATATATGGGACTAAAATATTGACTGAAATATAAAGTCAATACAGTAACCTTTTCTTAGTTCGTTATATTTTTATCATTTTGCTTATGAAAAGAAAATAATTGCGTTTAGTTATGTGTGAAACTCAAAGACAACATAAAATATGATTCAAATGATTATAATTTATTTTCACACAAAAAACCAAAAAACCAGAAAAGAAGTGAATATTTAATGAATCGTTGCCTACAATAACGTTAACTAAATATTTGTGTATTTTATGCAATGATACGAAAGAAGTGACAGAAAATAATTGATCATAAATAATAAGATTAGAGGAAAAGGTAAGTAAAAGGTAGAGGAGAGGAGAGACAGGGCTTTGAAGGGATGATTGCTTTGTGCCCTTCGCTCACACACTCCATTCGATACGGACTCCAGCCTTGACTTTGAATCGACAAAAAGCTGACAAACCGTTTACAAGACTCTAGTATAAGAGAAATGATGAAAAGTGTGGCATAAAAGTTGGCGCAAAACCTGATTTTTTCTTTGGCTCGAAAAGGAGGGATACAGACATACAGGTCCTACCAAAACATATTTATAAGCCGAGTGCCAGAGGCATTCCCAACACACCACTCCATTCACTCGCAAAACACATACTATTATATCATATAAGTTACCAAATGGTGGCTCAAAGTTTGGCTGATATTAGGGCTTAAGTGAACACATGTTTGGTTTGCATTAGACGAGAGAATAATAATAATATTTGGTGTTTGTGTCCAAAGTATTTGAGTATTAAAGAGTCGTCAACTATCAAAGTGTGTTTCCATGTGTTTTTTGCATCAATAGTATTGCTGTCCATTCAATAAGTATTAAAGTGTTTGTGAAAAACGAGACTCAATCACATAATCGATGCCAAAGACAACACATAAGCAATAGTTTAGGAATTTGGTGTGTTTTGGCAAATAATATAAACTATTTTTGCATTTATAGCACACCCATAAAGTGTAGTCTTATTTGAATGATAATAATACTGTATTTGTGTTTTTGTGTAAATCGTATGAACACAACGTGAATATAAATCCCAATCAAAGTGGAGTTAAAAGAAACAAAAAATTGAGTGTTTGTTGGACTTGTGATCAGTAAGTCTTTAGTGGAGTTTTAATTGAGTTTTCGTTTCGGTGATAGAGATTGTGTGTAATAGTATTGGTTGTGATCATCATTACCATTAAGATGTCAATAGTGATAGTAATGCTAATAAGAGCCGTTTGGCTACTAATCGGTCCATCAGTCGGATGCGATGCGACAAACGCTGAATCAATAGTGGATTTAAGTCATCCCCTTAACAGCCAAACCCTCCATTGGCCAGAAGCCAGAGATTTCGAGCTCAGAGTCACTCAAAACGGAACCGTCAGACGAGGGGAGACCAACATTTGGTATACATTTGTCTACATTTCTCAACAATAACTTCAGTTTAACTAACAGTATATTAAGAGTGTATAATAGTATTGGCCAACAAATACAATGCAATACTTTTACTATTATTATATGAAAGTTATTTATATCTCAAATACATTTTCATGCCTTTCCTCTGCGCCCTCCGCTCTCCCACTCATCCTTTCATCAAATAATTCTTTACACAATTCGCCAGCAATTCATGAATTTTATGCTAACTTTTTTCAATTGCAAATAAAAAGCAGAGAAACTTATTATTTTGATTTTGTTTGCATTTGAATAGACAGTCATCGCTGACTGTGTCTACCATTGAGATGAAAAATATTTGTTTGGAAATTCAAAAACAAATTGACAGATGTGTTAGCCTTACAATACATTTTCCAACTGTCTTTTAAATGACAGTAAATTTAATCTAAATTTTTTCTATAAACTTATAAAAAAAATTTCATTCCTTTATTTCAAAGAGTATTTCAGTCTTTCCTTTAAACAGTGAATTGATTTTTTGCACACATTTTGCTAGAATTTCATATAATTTTCCTCTTAAATGAAATATTAAGAAAACATTCCCCTTATAACACATTTCGTAATTATTTTAATATTCACTCAAATGTCAGTTAATATTGAGTATATTTGTTTTGATTGTAGGATACAGTCGGATGAAATATATATGGCCACACATACGGGCACTCATTTAGGTTTGTTGTACTCAATCACACTTTATTTAATAAACTTTCCTTCAGAACATGTCTAACCTCTATAACTAACTTAATTCATACAGTGTTCGGTAATAACTTATATATATATTAATACATATTAATAATAAGTATTTTGTATAAAGTTATATAAAAATATCAAATTAAATGAATAGAAATTATTGCAAATTGTAATATAAACACACAATTTTAATGAATTATTATTTTGGAAAGTTGTCATAATAATGAAATATGCAATTTGTGTAGATGCCCCATGTCATTTTTCTCGGGGAAAGTGGTCGGTGGCAGACATACCAATAATAAACTTAGTGGACAGACCGGTGGCTGTGATCGATGTGGTGGCCCAGTCTGTGGCCACCCGTGACTACGAGCTGAGTGTCGATGATATACATTCATGGGAGAAAATGAATGGACAAATACCAGACAACTCAGTCATATTAGTGCGCACGGGTTGGGCCCGGTTTTGGCCTAAAAAGTTAGAGTACTTCGGAACGGAGACCAAAGAGATACCGTTACTGCACTTCCCAGGAGTACATCCCTCGGCCGCCCAATGGATTGTCGACAACCGGCAGATTGTGGGCATTGGTATCGACAGTCCGAGTATAGATCACGGACAGAGCAAACAGTATAAGTCTCACCAGATATTGAACGCCAAGAATATATATCTATTAGAAAATATTGCGCAAACCATTCATAAACTGCCGGCCATTGGGTCTTCACTGACACTATTGCCCCTCAAAATAGAGGGGGCGAGCGGTACGTCTGTCACCGTAATCGCACGGATCGATGCCAAACACACATCCATTTCAGCCAAATGTGCGCCCAATTTATCGCTGGCTTTCATGCTCTCACTGTTGGCATCATTTGTAACATTAAGATATATTATCTCTTAAATTATCGCATCTTTTATGTGAAAACATTAGATCTATTATTATTACAGCAAACCATTGATTTGATGTTTACTAAATACACAAATGTTTCATACAATTGATTATTAATACAATAAATGTCTCGAAAATGAAAAACATATTTATTGGCTAAAATGTATTATGAACTCAATTTTCACACAAATAAAATTGATTGCAATGAGTTTCAACTGTTTTGTTATCATATATTCAAACTCTTTATGAAGACATTAACTCTCTTTCAAATAAAGTTTAAATAGAAATAAATATTTTGTCTGTCGATGTCGTTTGCATTTAATCATTAAGTTTTATTATATATACCAAATAAATGTGTAATAAATGTTTATCTATACTTCATTAAACTGATTGCTTGCCTCTAAAATGGTAACCCATTAGTTGTGAACCAAATATTATTTTAAAGTGAGTCTTAAATTATATGAAAAATAAGTTTAGGATTTTTCATAGGTTGTTTTATTTTCTAAATTATATTATTTAAAGCTTTAAATGAATTTAAATGTTTATCTCTAAATGGCTTTCACTAAATGTGTTTTATTATAGCTATTCAATTGAGTGCATAAATTAGTCTCGTTTTAAATCTTTGTTTTCTCTCTATTTTGTGCTTTGGGTTACATTGAGTTTGTTTATAAATTAGATAGTTTATAGTTTGAGTCCTTCAATATACTATAACTCAAGTAAATTTCCTTTTCATGATAATTTCAAATCAATAATTACTTAAATGTAAGTTTTACACAGTTTGTTATTATAAAATTATATTAAATACACAATATTTTCATTAATTTTGAGATACTTTGGAAGGAATTTAAATGTAAGTTATCAATGGAATTGAATCATTTGTTTAAAATGAAAAGTTTCAGTTATATGTCTATTACAACAATACATGTAAATGTGTTGTAAATGTCATCTCAAGAGTGAATGTCGTGAACAATGTTTGAACATATCTTGTGATAACAAGACTTGTCATCTTTTTGATAAACTTTGCTTTTAATTCATTAATTATTTATGTGAATACAGTATAAGTATGACTCAAACCTAAGATTTGCATACATTATCTAAAATCTAAAATCACGTTTTTATTTCATAATTCTCACATGTAAAAGTAACACATTGTAAACTGACTTTAATGTCGAATTTTGATAAGAATTATATAATTAATTAGAATTATTCTAAAAATTATTAGATATTTGGATAACATATTCAAAAAATATATTAAGCAATTTTCTCCTCAACGGATCACAAGTTTTGTGTTTAATTTGTTTTAACAGGAGATTAAACAGCATTTCTCTAATTTGCATAAAACTATTCCTAAATAAAATCCAGAGGAGTGTCATATTATTTAACTCCCAGTGCTGTCACTCATAAGGCATTACATATTGTAATTATACTAACAAACGTATAGTTTAGAGAAACCCATGGATTCAGTATTAAATCCTGTAATGTATTGAAGAAATGTCTTGTAATCCTGTTATGTGTCATAAAAGTAATGAAACGATTCGTTTGATTAGAAATTGAAATGAAATTCAATATCAAAATAAAAAGTTTTAGTTTTAGTTAATAAGGATTACTTACAGTGTCTCTCGAAATGCGTTTATTAAATAAAATAATATTAGCTTTTATTGTTAGTCCTATTCATACTGTATCTGTATTTACACTTAACAATACTGTTCCACAAGTTTGGGTTCAATGCCTACAACTGTCTATCACTCCCTTCCCATTCACTCACTCACACATCGACTCCAATACTCATTCACTTTTAGTCTTCCCATCACTTTCTGGCTATACTATAGTAACCGTCCTTTCATTTAGACTGCAATTGATTTGTTTCGTATCATTGAATCTATTATTGTATTCGTTGTTATTCCCAAAAAATACATGAATTTAGACACAAAGTACTCACTGTTATTGTGTTTGTCTTAGAACTGAAGTCACTACTCAATGGGCGCTATCATAGTTTTGTCCATTTGTCCGACCATTCATATTATCTCTTGATTCTTATATTGATTCCATAGCGCTCTCGCTCTCTCTCTCTCTCTCTCTCTCTCTCTCTCTCTCCCACTTCACTTACGGACAATAACATTACATAAAATTTTGATGCATAAATTTAGACAAACCTTTATTTTTAATATTTAACAAGAATAATGATCACCAAAATAAATAATTGGATAAATTATTTGTTTTCCAACCAATTTTCTCTTGTCTGAATGGCTTTAAAATATTAATCTCTCTCTCTCTCTCCTCTCTCTCTCTGTAAGAGAATTATTAGATTGATATCAATATTTTGTCCAAAAAATGATTGGCCGCTAATCCAAACAAAGCTCACTTAAGAAATAATAAAAAGACATCATTTTATATAAGAGAACAGACATTGAATGGATATATCTTAATTTTACATTATTTCCTATATTCATAGCCTCACATTAAATAATAAATAAATAAAATTGATTTAGTTTTGTTAAAAATATAAAAATTAAAACAAAACTTTTATCATCTAAAATTAACATTATATAAAAATTTCAAACTACATGTGTGTATACTTTGTATAATAAAAACTATAATGTGTTTATACAGTATTATTACATTATTTTATATGCAACATATAGTATGTTTATAACTTATAAATTATAAGTTATAATGATAGATAAAGTGAAATGAAAAGGTAAGTGATTTTGGAGTGTTTATTAATTTAAAATAAATATATAGATATTGTTGACTTTTATGAGGTACAGTAGTTGTGTTCACAACAAGACATTTAAGTGAAGCCAAAACATTACAAGACTTGTATTATATAGATACTTGGTTTTATATAGAAATGGTATACAAGCTTTCTTTTCAAGTTAATCTAAATTAACTTATATTTTTCAAATGTTTTCAAATAAACAAAAAAAATCATTTAATAAAAATAGAAGTCTATATCAAACTAAAAACAGACAAAAATAAATATTTAGAGAATTATTTCAAAGAAATTTCTTAAAATAAAATTTAAAACCATTGGAGAATTACTAAACAATAGCTTTTTTGTAAACATTATTTGTTTGATACGATTATATCAACAAATATTTTTCTCTGTATAATATTTAAAACTGATAAAATTTAATATTAACATTTATTTATTTAAACTTTACTTAATAAATTAATGTATTATAAATATTTGTATATAATATTAGTTAAACAATTAATAAATCCAAAATAACATTAAGGTAATATAATATACTGATTCGTGTGTATAGTGTAAGTTATACTGTATGCCGTTTATAAAGTAGAAACCTTTGAGAATTTAAATCCTAAAGAGATTATACAGTAGTTTAATATATAGAAAGTTGTGTTCATTACACTTTTAAATTAAACTTATTTTATCAAACATTGCATTACATAAACAACAAAAGAGTTACAAAATACAGACCTTTAGACTATAGGCTAGACTTAAGGGAAGTAGTGAATGAAAAATGAGAAAAAATTACTTTCCATTCATTTCATATTCTCTGTGTGTCTCTTAAAAACTGGTCTCTCGTTTCACCTAATATTAGATAAAATTTCGCATTTCTATCGATAATCTGGTCGTCGGGGGAATGGTTTGTAAACACTATACTGTTAGGTAATGTCTACTCTTTCAAAGTATATAATTTATTTGATAACATTTTGGTTTCTATATTTGTTATTCCAGTCACTATTCACACATACAGTAATATATTGATGCTCTCTCTCTCTCTCTCTCTCTCTCTCTCTCTCTCCCACTTCACTTACGGACAATAACATTACATAAAATTTTGATGCATAAATTTAGACAAACCTTTATTTTTAATTTTTGAAATAAATATTAAATGATCGACTAACTAATATGATAAAACAATTATGCAAGATGTATTTGAAAAATTATATACTTATACTTTGTATTAGAGTCTTTATTACTAAATATAAACATAAATTAGATTAATCTTTTATGTTGTGTATTATGTATGTTTTAGTACCAATAAAATTATTTTTCATTCTACTGTATACACTTATTTTCAAAATTAATATTTAGGAATTAATGTTAAACTAATAATTAGTTCATTATTAGATATCAAATTGCAATTAAGAATAATTTTGATTAATTTAATAAACAACTTCATTTAGAAAGTTCAATAGCACCAGTAAAATGATAGTGGGCACCAGTAGTTCACTTATGTCTAAAACACATCTCGTAAAATATAATACAAACGAAATGAACATAATATATAATATCGTACAGTGAAATACGATATTTATTAACAAAATTCTTTATGGCTAATAAAATGACACATCAATTATTTAATACCAACATCATAAAAATGATAGAAAACTATCTTTATGTATTAAATGCTTTTTTGTAATAATTTTTATAATGAAATGATTTCATGAAATATATTTTTTATAAATAAAATTGTGGTTTTCAGCAATGGGTCTGAATGTTGAGATAAGTAGTATAGACGAGACACTACTCGACTAACTATTAGTACTATTAGTGCTTAACCAGCAATTGATAGCAATTAAGTGAAATATTGCTTTTTGGGATGACTTTGAGCTGAATTGTGATTTCTTATGAAAAATCTGTGTTTAAGACCATAATTATATCGACCCATACTTAATATTATGTAAATAC